GTGGGGGGGGGGAAGACGAGCCACCTGAGTGACACCAAGGGTGACAGCATCCCCCCCCATCACTGCAGAGAGCAGCTAACGGCACATCCTGCCCTGGGTCGCAGCTCGACGCAGTGATGCTGAGGCTGCAGCCTTCACAAGGGACAACGCTGTATGGGGGGTGTTTCGGTGGCAGGTGTGTTACTTCTTCAGAGCAAAGACTCCCATAGAGATCGGGTTACAGAGCGGCTGGGTTCTCTTAGGAGTAAAATGTTACTAAAAAGCATAGAATCACAGAATCCCAGCATGGTTTGGGTGGGAAGGGACCTTAAAGCTTCCCCAGTCCCACCCCCTGCAATGAGCTGGGACACCTTCCGCTAGACCAGGTTGGGTGGCCCCACACCCAGCCTGGCCTTGAAGACATCCAGGGATTGGGGCATGCTTTGGCCATGCCGGCGAGCAGCCACGCAGAGCTCCCTGCCCGGGAGCTGCCTCTCTGCAACAGGCAGGGACGGGTCACCATCCCCGCTGGCCCAAAGTGGCTCCGGCCCGCTCCCCCGGCTCTTACCGACAGGGAAAAAACGACATGGCTGTTGTACTTGGCGGAGGAGGGGGGCTGCAAGGGCTCCTGCTCCGGGGGCTCAGCTGGCTCGGGAGGCTTTGCAAACAGGTCAAAAGCGTCCGCCCCTGGAGCTGGGGGAAGAGGTGAGACTCAAGGAAGGGACCGGGCTGGGGGGGGTGAGAGGTAAGACACGTACGGGCAAGCGAGAGGCTGGGGTGGCTGCCTGCAAGGAGACAGAGAGGGCATGGGGCCAGGGGATGTGGAGCTAGGGGTCGGGAACATGCGCTGGCCCAGGGGGCTGAGGTGAGCCAGGCAGGAGCCCAGCCTCGCTCAGGCAATGCTGACCAGGCAGCCCCTGCGTCCCCACAGCCGCCCCACCGCAGCAGGCAGGTCCCTTTCCCAGCCCCAGCGGGGACAGGTCTGCGGGAACAAGGGGCACAGGCCTGCAGGCCAGATTCTGCTCCCCTCCCCAGGGACCAAAATTGACGGCAGCACCTGCGGGACCTCTGCGGGGCCGGAGGAAGCACCGAGGAGGAACCGAGAGCAGCACTGAGCTCCAAAACGCTGGCTGCTCCTACAAGTGCTTCCCCATCTGCCGCACAGCACCTGCGGGCAGCAACCGTCCCCGGTTCCAGCACAGCGTGTAAGGGTGTTCAGGGGCGCAAACAACAGGTATCAGTGGGGGGACACA